TGAAAATAGTGAATTTTTTAGAGTGCTGAGTTAAACAGCCCAGATCCTGGGAATGATTTGGATACAGTAATACACTCTTCGGCCCAATTATTGTTCCCAATTGCTGAGCTGTACATTCTTTAATTAATTAATTAATGTCATAGTATATGGGATACTTTAACAAGTTTTAAAAAGAATTAATTGATCATTAGTGCCTTCCTGGGGGGGGCTGTGCATTTTATAAGTGTATAACTGAAACATTTTCCTTAAGATTGCAAGTCTGTGTGTAAGGATGTTTTCTGCTTACTCCAGTTTTGTAGGTTTTAAATCTACCTTTACGTTTGGTTTTGTGGTGTGTGGATTATTATGCCTCAGAATATTGTAAGTATGTTATTTGAAAAGGCAATACCTCTCCATCTTAAATCTCTTATTTTAAATGCAGAATGAAGTTCCTGGTTCACCGGTGGCACCGGGTCACAGGTTTCAACTTCATAAGTATCAGCAGGGATGGCTTTAGCCAAAACGCAGGTAAATTGTAGACTACGGATGTCTGAAGAAAAGGTATCACCACAGAGTACACTAGTGCTGAAGGAAGGACAGTTTAGGTTGGGTTCATGTAGCATGGAACCCTCCTTCCCCTTCCTTTCACCGCACCATCCAGACCAGGCTCCTCCTTGGCTGTCTAGTCACCCCTTCAGCATTCTGGGCCACTCCACTCCACGCAGACACTAGTGTCCCAACTGTTATGCCTTACTTCACATCTCAGTGGACAGGCTTTCCAAAATATGGCAGACTTCTCTTAGTGGGCTTGTGCTCTGTGCATGAATTGCACCTCCTGCAGTGTGCTCCAAGAGACCCCTTTCACACCTATGGGAACTCTAAATAAATCCAGGACATATAGACATGATCTTTGGCTACCACAGTTGGTCCCATCCCTGGGCATCTTTACACACATGCTCCAGGAAGGGGTGGGAGAGGCGCTTTAATTAGAGTGGCTCTTAAAAGCTGCTCTAATTAAAGCACTCGCAGTGTCTCGTGTATTCAACATCCCACACTTCAAAATGGTGGCAGGGGCACTTTATCTAAAGCATGTCAGATGAGCTTCAGTTAAAGTGCCCCTGCCACCATTTTGAAGCACAGGGACACTGAGTACACCAGATGCTGAGGCTAGTGGAGTGTACTAATAAGCACGCTCTAGTAGACTCAATTAATTGGGTCTGCTCCAACACACTATAATTACAGTGCATCAGAGCAGGCATCCCATGTGTCTACAGGCAACCCTTGTCTGCGTCATTGCACCGGGAAGTATTTCTTCCCGGTTTGTCTCATCTCAAGTCAGATAAAAAAAAAAAAATATATCTTACATCCCATGGGTATAGCTAGAATCCACGATATCTGGTTCCCCGTTTGTTTTCTTGTAGGGAGTTCAAAAAGAGCTAGTACAGCTACTAAATCAGCTAGTACAAGTTGCATTGGTGCCAGTCATATCAGTCTCGGAGGCATTCCATGCTGAGCTCAATAGCTTCAAAACTGAGAAGTTCAAGCAGTAGCAAAAATCAAACTTTTATCTGAGAATTTATTTTATTTTTTTTACAAGGAGCTCCCTGTGCTGCATCTGTAGCCCCTGCTGGTGTTCAAAGTTACTTTCTACCATTTAAGTTAGCTATTTTTGAGAGTTGTTCAAAGGAAAGTCTTGGCTAGATATGATAGTAGTAAGCAAGATCCCGAGAAGTAGAAAACTGCAGTGATTGTCTCTAAGTAAGATGAAGGGAAGAGAATCAACCATAGTTTGTAAACTGGAAAAGTGTTTGGCAGAGCCCATTTTCCACAAATGATTTCCTTGCTGAACAGAACAGCTAGTGGAGCTGGGTGAGGCTTCCATTTGCCTTATTTATACATGTAAGACCGGTAGGCAGTTTTTGTTTATATATATATATATATATATATATATATATATATATATATATATATATATATATATATATATATATATATATATATATATATATATATATATATACACATACACACACACACACACACTATTTTATGGTGCTAAGGCAGCTGATCATGTTGGACATGCATTGCTTTACTGCTTTTGCTATTTTAACCAAATGTAGTTTCAACAATCTCACTTTCTTGCATGTAAAAGAGAAACATGCTATGGAGCTTGCGCCCTCTCTCCGTCCAGTCTATCGGGGTGTTGCCCCTCCCCTCAACTCGCCTGCCACGACTTGGATGTTAAAATGCACGTTAAGAGGGGTCTACAGTGGAGATCTTTATCTCGGATGGGCCTCCCGATAGACGGTGGTACTCACGGTCGTCCGACGCGGTGTTCCACGGGGCTCCGCCTCCCCTATACCCCGTCCACCCGCCAGGTTAGGAGGAGCTACAAGGTGATCCCCCTGATTCCAGCTCCCTCCTGGATCCTCAGCTGTCTCCTCTCCCCTGTCAAAAGCAGGGAGCTCCCTTGCCTCCTGAGCGCAAGCCGCTTCAGGAGACTGAGAGAGTGCCTCGGCTTGCACTCTCTGTCTGCCTCCTGCTCTGCCTACCGCAGAAGGCTTAAAGCCCTTCCCCAAGCTGCCTGCTTGAGACCCGCAGGCTGAGTCCTCTCCTCTCCGTGCCAGAGTTCGCCACATGAGCTGCCAGCCAGTACTCTCTCTCCGGCTCCCCCGCTCTACCGGCGTTTTTAAACCTTCCCGCAGCGGCCGATACGGCCGCTGGGATTGGCTCAGCTGTTCCCCACACCAGGAACAGCTGATGCCACAGCCGGCGTAATGCCGGTTCGCGCAGCTGCAGCCGCGAACGCGGCTCCTGCTCCTGCTGCTCTTCGGCAGGTACGTACGCCCCTCTGGGGGCTTTCTCTCGGGGTCTAGGATCCACGGGTTCTCTTCTCTCTCCCTCGAGAGCCTGTGGGGGCACCTCTCCACCACAGACCTCCCCCCTTAAGTTGCCTCGTGGTGTCTGGTTTTCTCTTGTGACGGCATGTTCCACCTGCTGTTCCTCCCCATGGATGTGACCCGAACCTTCCTCTGGGTTGTCCGTGCCTCCCCATCTGGACAAAAAGTCAGCCACAAAGTTATCTTTGCCGGGACGGTGTATCACCGTGAACTTGAATGGCTACAATGCCAAAGCCCAGTGGGTGATCCTGGCATTCATGCTCTGCTTCTGTATCAACCACTGTAGTGGTGTGTGGTCTGTCACTACCACAAATTCCCTCCCCATTAGGTAGTATTTAAAGTATTCTGTTGCCCAGTGTATTGCCAGACACTCCCTTTCGATGGTGGCATACCTGGTTTCCACACGGCTGAGTGTCCTGTTGGCAAACGTGATTGGGCACTCTTCCTGCTCGAGTTTTTGGAGTAACACGGCTCCCAGAGCCCGTCCTGAGGCATCTGTCTGTAAAACGAAAGGGGCATTAAAGTTAGGCGTGTGCACAATAATGTCATGGTGCATTGCCTCTTTCAAGTCTTGGAAGCTCTTTTGCATCTCTGGTGTCCATTTCAGCAGCGCTACAGACCTCCCAGCTAATGCATCTGTAAGTGGTGTGGAGAGAGTTGCAAAGCAGGGTATAAATCGCCGATAATAATTAACGAGTCCCAAGAAGGAATGCAGTTGTTTGCGGTTCCTGGAACTGCCTTATAGCCTCAATCTTATCTGTGAGGGGCCGAATTGTCCCTCGGCCTACTCGAAATCCCAGGTATGCTGTTTCTTTTACCGCTAGCTTACATTTCTTCGGGTTGGCGGTCAGCCCCGCTGCCCAGAGTTCTCCCAGGACAGCTCTGAGGTCCTTAATGTGTTGTTGCCAGCTGGCGGAAAATATAATGATGTCATCAATGTACGCCGCCACGTATGCTGCATGTGTTGCCAATAAGTTGTCCATCAACCTTTGGAACGTTGCGGCCGCGCTGTTGAGGCCAAAGGGCATCCGCGTGAACTCGAATAAGCCCCACGGGGTCCCAAAGGCTGTTTTGGCACAATCCGTGGAGCGCATTGGGATTTGCCAATACCCCTTTGCCAAATCGAGTGTAGTTATATACTGTGCTTTGCCGATTTTTCTCAACGAGGTGAGTGACATGGGGCATCAGAAAGGCATCAAACGTAGTCAGGGCATTAAGCTTTCTGTAGTCTATACATATGCTCAGTGACCCATCTGGCTTGATGGCAGGAACTATGGGACTCTGCCACGGACTGCGGGACGGTCGTATAATCCCCTGTTCTTGCATCTTCATGATTTCCAGCCGTATTTCCTGTTGCCACCATTGAGGTATCGGCCTCCATCTCTCCCTGACCAGTGCCCCTTGAGGTGTCCTGATCTCATATTCTACTCCCGTTACCCGTCCTGGGACTTCTTGGAACACCGCCCTAAATTCTTCTATTAAGGCTAATAATTCTTGCTGTTGCTGGTTGCCCAACTCCTTGCCCATTTGTACTGACCCCTCCTCCCGGGGTCTCCCTAACCCAGGGCAAGGTGGTCCCAGGTCTTCCCTTGTATCCTCGTCTAGTGCCATCCAGCCATGAGGAGTCTTCCACTCCTTGAGCAGATTCACATGGTAAATCTGGCGCTCCCGGCGGTGACCCAGTTTAAATCATTCATAATCCACCGGCCCTACTTGTCTCACCATGGTAAACGGGCCCTGCCACATTGCCAGCTGTTTGCTGGAGGAGGTTGGCAGCAATACCAGAACTTTGTCCCCTGGCTGGGACATCCGTGTTCTTGTCTTCTCATTGTAGCGCCTCTCCTGTATTCCTTGGGCGCTCCTCAGGTTTCACCTGGCGATCCGTTGGGCCCTGGAGATTCGGTCTTGCAACTCTTTTTGGTACCTTTCCGCCGATACCCCCAATCCCATCGGCCTCTCCCATTCTTCCCTTACGATTTGTAGCAGTCCCTGAGGACTATGGCCGTACACCAACTGAAATGGAGAGTACTGGGTTGACTCCTGAGGTGCATCCCTCAAGGCGAACAACAAGGGGGTCAAGATAGTATCCCAATACCAGAACTTTGTCCCCTGGCTGGGACATCCGTGTTCTTGTCTTCTCATTGTAGCGCCTCTCCTGTATTCCTTGGGGGTCTTCCTGGGAGCACCGCCTGAGCATCCGCTTGATGGTCCCATTTAATCTTTCCACCAGACCATTAGTTTGTGGATGATAGACCGAGGTCTTTAGCTGGGTGATGCCGAGGGTTTTACATAAGGCTTTCATTACCCCAGACATAAAGTTCGGCCCCTGGTCTGTGAGTATTTCCAGTGGTATGCCCACCTGTGCTATCCACTTGAGTAACTCTTCCGCCACCCGAGTGGCTGTTATGGTCCTCAGGGGCACGGCTTCTGGGAACCGGGTGGCATAATCTACCATCACCAGGATATATTGATATCCGTTATGGGACCTGGGGAGGGGTCCTACTATATCCAGGGCGACCCGCGAGAACGGTGTCTCTATTATTGGCATGGGATTCAGGGGTGCCCTTGTAGGTTTCCATTCTTGTGCCCTCTGACACTCCAGGCACGCGGCCCCCCCACCTTTCCACATCCTCTTGGAGACGAGGCCAAAAGAATTCTTGGGCCAGCCTAGCCCGGGTCTTGTTACGTCCCAGATGGCCACCCATGGGCGAGTCATGGGCCAATTTCCACACCGCCTGGCGAAGTGAGGACGGAACCACTAACTGCCTCCCTTGTATGGTTCCCTCCTCGCCCCGTTGGACCCGATACAATAACCCTCCTATTACCTCGAAGCCAGGACGACTCCGTGAGGATCCTTCCCCGGGGTCTGTGTCCCACATCCACTGGAGTTCCGGGTCTTCATTTTGAGCTCTACGGCATTGGGCCATGCTCACGAACTGTGAAGTGAGGACGGAACCACTAACTGCCTCCCTTGTATGGTTCCCTCCTCGCCCCGTTGGACCCGATACAATAACCCTCCTATTACCTCGAAGCCAGGACGACTCCGTGAGGATCCTTCCCCGGGGTCTGTGTCCCACATCCACTGGAGTTCCGGGTCTTCATTTTGAGCTCTACGGCATTGGGCCATGCTCACGAACTGTTCTAGGTCGACGCCGCCTGAAGTTATTTCATTCCAACAGGCTGGGCCCTCGCCGGCCCATCCCTCTCCCCTCCTGATCCGGTTCCTCTCCTCTTCTGTGGCCCTCACTCGCTCAAGGACTGTGTAGAATGGTCCCCATTCTCGGCCTAGGATCATCTCACAAGCCAGGGTTGGGGCAATTCTGACTCGTGGCTCTCCGCTAAACTCCATCACCCTGAACGGCACATAACAAGTCTGGAACCGCATTTCTCCCCCTAGTATGCAGGTCATTGTCAGGGATCCTGCACGCTTTCGTCCTGTCTGTGGAGTGAGGTCTGCCTGAAGTAGGGACTGGGAACACCCCGTGTCCAGTTTGGCCTTGACCGCCCTGTCTCCGATCCATGCGGTTACCACGGGTTGGTTCCATCCTTCATCTTGGGTTGCGGACCCAAAACTACAATCCATAGGCTCTACTCTCTCCGCCTCTTTGCCTCTAACCCAGGAGGGCGGATATCCTGTCAGTATGCAACTCAGCTCGCTCAGGTCCATCCCACATTCGCGGGAGATGTGACCTGTTTGCCCACAGCGATAGCACACCACCCCTTTTGGTGGTCCTTGTCTCAGGCCCGTCCGTCTCTCCCCTTCACTTGGCTGTCCCTCTTTCGGGCCTCGGGAGCTTTGCCCATATCCTCGCTCCCTTTCCGAATTCGCAAAGACCTCAGCCAAGTGGAGCGCTTCTTCACTAGTTTGTGGCTGATGTCTCTGTACCCATCTCTGAGTGTCTTCCTCCAAATCCCATATGAATTGTTCTAGTAGGATCTGGTCCATCATGCCCACCCGGTCGAACTTGCCAGCTGGCAACCATTTATTAAGTGAATCCCTTAAAGCTTGCAACAACCCCCAGGGTCGCCTAGCCTCCTTGGCCTTTCGGGCTCTAAAGGTCTGCCGGTGACTTTCCGGTGAAATCTCAAGCCTGCAGAGGATCGGTGCCTTGACTGTCTCGTAGTCTCGGGCTTCCTCCCTTGATAGAGCTCAGTAGGCGGCTTGAGCCTGATCTATCACCAGCGCCCCCAGGTGATGGCCCCACTGACCACGGTCTAACCCCGTCTGGATAGCTGTCCTCTCAAATGCTTCAATATAAGCTTCGGGATCATCCTCCTTAGTCATCCGGGGCATTTTAAATAGAGCAGCATTTCGCTGCATCCACTCTTGCTGGTGTGCTCCCTGCAGTTGCTGAACTTCCAGCACCTGCCCTATGGCCTGGATCGCCTGCGTAAACAGCTCTGCGTGCGCTAGTACTGGCTGCTGCATCGCTGTTTAGTCCCGGGTCGGGAACACTGTCCCGTTAATGCCATATAAGAATGACTGCTTCCCAGCCAATGCACCACTGTGGAGCTTGCGCCCTCTCCATCCAGTCTATCGGGGTGTTGCCCCTCCCCTCAACTCGTCTGCCACGACTTGGATGTTAAAATACACATTAAGAGGGGTCTACAGTGGAGATCTTTATCT